TGTACCATTTCCTTGGTACTCGGAGCCGACGTATATCCAAAGGTGATTCTGCCAGGAGTGGTCCCAAGCACGGACGGCTTCCCAGTTGCGCAGAACACTGTGTTCGGGTGGACTCTCTCTGGCACTTGCAACACCGTGTGAACAGAGAAAGGCGGCCCTTCCCCGTTCCTATCTTTTCTTTGCAACTATATTGCAAGGGGGGAGGATGTTTAAGCCGCAAAGTAGGCACCGATGCAGCCCATAGGCTGCAAGCTCATGCTCCCGAAGCATGAAAGCTTTTGGAGCGGCCTCTTCAGTGCTCATTAGATTTAAGCTTAATCATACCAGAGTTAGTTGAAATCACCCGAAAAAAAAAACAACGCGCCCCCCGCACATTTTCCGCAAATAACAAACATCTTCTTCTTATTGTTTGGGCACCTAAATCCCACGAGCCACCAGAAGTGAAGGACGAGAAAAAGCAGGCAAGGATCTCCCACTACAATCAGCCACCATTTTAATGCAAAATATTGGAGAACCTGTGGTTCTAATTTCTGAAAGTTGTTGTTTACACTTGGAAAGAAAAAACGCGCACCCGTCCGGTTTTGTTGAAGTAAAGTGCAAACGCTTGTACAAATTTTTGTCAAATGGATGTCTAAAGTTCAAAGTGAACAAATATTTTATTTTGGTCAAATATAAAAATTGCATTTACCATCTTGTATGGCGAACGGTTTTAAGAAGAAGAGACACGACAAAGCGACTGTCACAATATGGCGCGTTGGGGGAGTGGTATTGGAAGCCGGGGGAAGGCATCGTACTGTTGAGCGCGGATTAATCCATTAAATATACCACCTGACCCTCTAAAATATACCGAAATATACCTTCTCATTTTTTAAATATACCGAGGAAAATTATTCATCGATCTTGACATTCGATTTAATATTAAAATAATAATATAATATTTAAGCTCACCTGACTCATTTTTGCGTTTCATGTATGAGATACTTGGCTACATATAAAGTTGTATGCCGATATATACATTGAGCTCAATGTCAACCTCTAATATAAAGTATTCCGTCAACGGTCACCCTGAAAACAGCGTACTGTTGAGCGCCTAACAGCACACTGTTACTGTTAACATATATCGATAGGGGTCTAATATATTTTACTTGGCTGAGCTAAATGCCCCATGGTGTATTGCCAGCATATCGACTAAAAATATAAGCTAAAGCATATATTTCACTCGCATGGTCGCCCATAAAGCTGGTCTCACAGTCACAAATTTGAATTACCAATACCATACGATACTTAACCGATAGTTTTCAAATGCAGCCCTAAACAATTACCATCGGCGGAATAATTAAATTTCGTAAAATAAACTCGCGCCCAAAGATAAAAACACCATAATAAAACAATATTTGAATTTCATCATCAAACTTTGAATTTTATTTTGCGAAACAATTTGCTTTCCGAAATTGAAATGAACTTGATTAATTTAGAGTATTTCCATCGAGGTCGAACATTCTTCACTCTGTCAGATCATCCTTCACCCGTGTTGGATTCCCCGACGTAATTTTGATACAATTTGATTAATTTAGATGCGAACAGGATAATGATTGAGAGTCATGAATTTGAAGGGGAGCCAAATCCATTCTAGTCGCCCTCCTGAGGAAACTCTATTAATCTCAGCATAAGAACCGAGTTGAGAATAAGCATTACTTACTATTATTGGGCAGTCCTCAGAGAACCTCGTCTGAGCTATTTCCCTGAGCTCGCTCTACAGGAGGTTCAATATCAGCGATCAAGTTTGAGAGTCGACTTGATTTACTTACTGTCGTTCGGCAGCAATAAAGCAGTTCCATATCCGTGAGTTTTAGCTTGAGCCAGCTATGATTTGATCGATCAGGGTAGTAAGTCCGGGAAAGTGCAGCTTTATGGCTGCGGCACGCCGCCATTGCATGCACATATTCTAAATGGTTCTTAATATTAGCAACGCAACGAATTTGGAATTCCACTTGTTTAGCTTACTGAAAGTCCGGTTCGGAGTCCATCCAAGTTTTAAGTTATTCAATAATTTTCACCAATAATAACCAAACAAACAAAAAATATTTTCAATAATTTAAACAAGCAAGCCAAAAAAACCAATTAAACAAAAACAAAATAAATAAAATTAAATTTGAAAAATTATAAATATGTTTTGTCCGGCGGTACGCGAATGTCTCTTGGAGAACCCTTCCATTTCCACCGGAATTTTCGTACGCGGGGAGAACTCAACATTTTCGTTTTGTTTTATTCGGTTTTTTATTCGTTATTCAATTTTTCACTTTTATCCCAAAAAATATTTTCCGGGTTGTTTACTCGGCAAACAGCTGGACTCGACTGACGATAATCTGGCTCAGCCCCAGGGCCAGATATACAAATCCAAATATATGCAAAGAGACTACTGATCTGGGGAATTTTATACGAAAAAGGGACAAATATAGAAGGCTTGGAGTTATTTCGACAATGGGATAGATTCGTTCTACGAATTTTGTATTGATATACAGTGGAATCTCAATAGTTAGAACCCACTTGTTCCTCGTGTTTATTCTAATTTCTGAAAATTTATAATTTCTGGACATTTTATTGCACAGAATACTTTGGGATAGGCGAATACTCACTACCCAAAGGGAAATTGGTCCCATTGTACATACACATATGAAAGTCTGTCAAAGTTCGCTTGCTTTATCCTTTTGTAGGCCCTTCGATGCTGGTGTTCTTATAGGCAGAGGAGTGGATCTACAGAGGGGCATTCTTGCCGTCTGTTGCATCCATAGCTTTGTACCCCACGAATAAGTATTTTCTGAGTTATTTGAATATGTTGCTAGAAAACAGTATGAGTATACCCTCTAGAGGGCCTAGACCTGCGAGTACAGGGCAAAGCAACAGCAACAATAAAAGTAATTTAGACATAAGTAAATTAATTGGAAGCGCCATTTCGACACTTTAGTCTGTCTGCAGTCCTTACACAAAAGCAGAGGAGAAGAGCATGAGGCAGAGACACCCTCTGCCATCCTATTCTGGATACGCTTCTTTGAAGGACTTGGGTTCCCGGCGTAAGCTTTAAATAAGCAGCAATTAAAGCAGCAAGGAGCCGTCGAAGGAAGCCAGCCGGATAGTAGGGAAGGGAGAGAAAGCACAAATGGCAACCAGGTGCCCGCAAATACATTAAAATGTGTCTATTTGATACTTGTTGATATCTATTGACTTTATAGCAAATACAGTGGAATCCCACAGATTAGAATTCGAACAAATTTGAACAAATTATCCAGAAATTATAGCCGGCCATTTTAATGCAAAATATTGGACAACCTGTGGTTTCAATTTCTGAAAGTTTTTGTTTACTTTACCACACAGCCTTCCATTTTGTGTTGAAGTAAGAATATTCGTGGTGCGTACAATCCGGTCAGATGCATATGAAATTTGATACGCTTGTAAAAATTTTGTCAAATTATGTCTAAAGTTCAAGGTGATCAAATCAACAAATCAAAAATTAAAATAAGCAAATTGAAAATATATTTGAAATTAAAAAATATTACATCCTCCAGCCAAGTGTCGATATGGTGCTTCCTAGTAATTTAGTTATGTCTAAACTTCTTTTATTGTTGTTGCTGCTGTTGCCGTTGCTGATGCTGCTGTTGCTTGCCCTGCACTTGCAGGTTCTAGGGGGTATACACGTACCGTTTTCTAACAACATATTTAAATAACTATTATCAGCACTGGAGGGGTACATTGTACATCGTACAAAGCTATGAACGCACTACTAACAGGCTGAAAGATTACTCCTCTGCACAACCATTCTTCTGCCTACAAGAACACCTGAATCAAAGGGCCTACAAAAAGTAAAGCAAGCGAACAATGACAGGCTTTTGGTATGTGTATGTACAATGGGATCATTTTGCCTTTGCGTAGTATCAAATTCGATTATTCGATTAAATGTGGCTTTTCTTATGGCTATTGCATTTCTTGTTTAAAGCCCCTGTTGTCGTTTCATCTCATCAGCGTGCCAAAGGCCCAAGGCCGAAATCCTTCCCTGTATGTGAGTGTGTGCACGTGCACACTATGACTCGAAAAATTCCTGTCCTTCGGTCTGTGACTCCTTATGACTCTTGGCATGTGCTCCTCTCCTCTGACTAGAAGCTGGATATACCACGTAATGACGTTATTTCACACGACACACGACATTCTACGATCAAAAGTGTAGCACAGTTTTGGGTTTTAAGCAGCGATGTGCAGGGCACACAGCAGAGATGCAAAAACACGTGTCCACGTTATCTGCAAGATGTGTCAGCAGCTATCAATGGAGGTATGGAAGGAGAAACTAGCCCGCCAAAAGATCAATAAAGTCTCGCCGCTAGCACAATTTTTTACGACTGCCACCACAAACTGAACCACAAAAGGAATCATAATTCAATCTTGTTTGATCCAATTCAGGAGTAGTAAAGTAAAAGAGTTTGAATACAATTTTCGTGTTTTTATTACTTGTTGATTGATTGATTGATTGATTGGTTGGTTGATGGATGGTCGGTGAAATATACATAATTATGCACATTCATACATATGTACATATATCGGAATATATATTGCTGCGAATATACATGCGTATATGGACATATGGATAAACATTGTGAATGGGGGAATTTGATTTTGATTGCATTATTTCTCATGTGTGTTGTGTGCGTGCGTGTGTGTGTGTGTGTGTTTGTTTGTATGCATGGTTGTGTGTGTTTACAAAATAATATTACAATTACAAATATTTTATACATACACAAAAAAAACAATTGTGAACTAAAAACTAAAGGGCAGAATCGGGCTGCCATATAGCTAGCCATTTATATGTATGCATGTTTGTATGTGTGTGTGTGTTTGTGTTTAAATGTTTTGTGTGGGTGGTGGGTGGTGGGTGGCATGATTTTGTGGGTTGAGGTGTGAAAAAGGAGAATGGAAAAAAGGAATGAGAGGATCAGAAGTGAGCTTGGATGTGATGTTCACTGATGTTGGGCTTTTCAGTTGCGCTTCCTCAAGGCCAGGCGACCGATGGGACGTTTCGGTTTTGCCTCCTCCTTCTGCTGCTGTTCCGATTCTTCGGCGGCGGCATCATCATCAGCTGCCTGCTCGGGCGTCGCCTTGACGGGCTTGGCAAGCTTGCGCCGGCTCACTGCAAGTGGAAAGGTAGATGTGGCAGTGGTAGAAGGTCAGTCAGAGATCACATATGTTCAGTTCAGTTCAGTTCAGCCAGAGATCACTACTCACATGCCGAATTGCCCTTTGAAACCCTTGGATGGGGTCGAGACCGGGTGCTGGTGCCGCAGCCGGAGCCTGATCCTCCTGCTCGCCCGAGGCGGACTCGTCACTCTTCTTGGCCGGCTTGCTGGCGGGCACCTTCTCAGCGCGATGCTTCTTGGCGTTCTGCTGGCGGCGCTTCAGAGAGTTGAGGAAGTCGTCGTTAGAGCGGAATGGCCGGATGACAGGTCCCACCTTCTTGGGCGCCTCTGTGCTGGTGGTTGTGGTCGAGCTGTCGGCAGCCGCCGCCTCATCACCCTCCTCGCCATGGTCACCCAGACCCGCCTCCTCATCGTATTCCTCACCATCGCCAGCATCATTCTGGGCCGGAGCCGCTGTCGTCGTGGTTGTCGGCTTAGCCGCCTTACCAACGGGACGGCGCAGGGCGGCAATTCTCTTGGCGGGCGACACGGATCCGCCCTCCTCCTGGGCAGCCACTAGTCCATAGCATAGGGCGCAGATGATGAAGAGCAGGCAGCTGAAACAGGTAAACGAAGAGGTGGAGCGAAGTTTAGTTTCTAATTAGCAAAAGGGGCGGCAGCGGGCCACACAGCCACACAGCCACAAATTAAATGCAAATATTCTGGTGACTTCCAGTTCAAAGACGTGTCGGGGCTGACCGACCAGCCAGACGGGTTATTCCATACAGAACCTGAAGTCGTAAAGATATAAACGCATGATATATGGTCGTACATAAGCCTAAACCATACATTTCTCGCCTGCTGAATGCCATTTATTTTCCTGTAAGATTAGTTCGAGGTTTTTAGTTTTTGTTGTGTTTTTGTGTATTGTTTTATAGTTTCGATATCGTCGCGTCGCGTCGGCGCTGCCAGACCGAGATGTGCTAACAGTTATTAATGTGTAAAGGTCAGGCAAACGGGTTTGTTCACTTTCGATTTCGATTTTGCCTCCAAACCGAAAACGAAACAAAAACCGAATTCGAATTCGAATGCGAATGCGAATGAATGTTGCTCTGTTTCGATTTCTGTTTCTGCTTTGCTTCTCTCCTCTGGCTGCCGTAGATGCTTCAGCAACGATGACGATGATACCGTCCGTGATGGTGCGGTGGTTCGATGGTGTGGGGTTTTATGGTTGCGTTGTGGCTCATTCTCATTGCCCATATTTTATGCAAAACAAAAGAGCTGGCAACCGAACTCGTTTTGAAATTCATTCTCCGCCTGCGCTTGGGTGCTTGCTTGCAGGGGGCGGACAGCTGACTGCTGTCGGTCTGTGTGTGTGTGCTGCCAGTGTTGCCAAAGGAAACAGGTGCTTATGCAAAAAAGGCACCAGAAAAATGGGCGAAAAAAAAACAAACCAGTTAAGAGCCAGCAGCGCCGCGCCAGAATCAATTTAAGTGCGCACATTGCAGTTGGATAATAACGGTAAAATGTGTGCATATTGCAGTGAACTTTTTTTCTTATTAGCTTCTTCATAGTTTTGTTTCTTTTTTCTTATCCTCTCTCATTGGCCAAAGCTCGAAGAATTTCCAGAGCTGTCAGCAGCTCTGCGCCGTTTCAGTCCCATTCCCAAATACAATATTTTGGGGTCATCTTCGGCGATGCAGATAAAGCCAAAAGACAAAAGCCAAAATTATGCAACGCCAAAGGTGAAAGGCGTTGTTGGCTTTCCACGATCTCGTATACTTTTATTGTATACATATGTATGTACGTGGCTGGAATCTGTAACTTATTTGCTCCTCAATCGAAATTCACATCACGGCAGACAGGCATGGCTGGCGTGCAGCGCGCACTGCCAAACTCCGCCACTCCTGCATCGGGGCTGACATTTGACTACGGCCAGGGCTTCTTCTTCGCAAACGCAACCGGTTTTTGATTGGCCAACGGGAACACAACACAACACAACACTCAACTCAACTCACATTCAATCCGCCCCTAACAAACCCGACGCGACCCGATCCGACCCATAACCCGGGGTATTTTCGGTGGAGACGAGCGGAGGGAGACCAACCATTTCTAGCTGCCAGCCCAAATGGTGGATTGTATTTTGTGTAAACTGCCTAAGATGCCTTCAAGCTCCCAAGTTATACAAGTTATATAAGCCGACATTATTTGCAAATTTATGATAAGCATCGCATTGGCGTCACGGTGTCGGTCTCTGTGTCGATGTCGGTCGCTTCCTTCCCCGTCGAGAACTTCGTTTTGGTGGTCAGGGAAGGCGGAACCGAACCACTTGCTTAATGTGCAGCCTCATCTTCATTATCATTTTCATTAGCGCTTTTTTAAGAGCATGGTTTGACTTTTAATGAATTTCATTTTGCCTTTATGCTGTGTTCTTCCTTTCCGGCTCTTCTATGACAAGTCTCTTGATTTGACTTCTGGTTTTGCAAAGATTTGTTCATCACTTTGGCAAAATGGTTCCAAATGCGATGGCGTCAGTGGCGGATATGGAAATGCCAATGGGACTTGTTCAGCTTCTTTCATTTGAAGTTGATCTTGAAGTTAGCCCCAGCTACTAGATCGCTCTTCTGGCTTATTCTGGTTGCCTCTGCCCAATTTTGCCCCCGTTGCCTACATACATACATACATATGTATGTACATATAGCCAGCCGCCTGTCCCATGCACGTTTTCTAATTGCCCTGGCGCCCTCATTACACTCCCTCCTAAAACTCCACCCACCACCACCATCTGGTGGGGTGGGGAGTGGGGGCTGGGCTATGTGTTATGCTGCTCAACAAACGTGCACATTCGACACCGAACTCGAACTCGAATCGAATTCGTATTCAATTTGGAATTACAGTAAAGTAAAGTGGCTTACGGTAAGTGGGTTCAATAACGGTGCATTGTGTCGCTCGGCGGCACTCTCTTGTGTACATAAATGTACATGTACATGCATACATATGTACATATTTATGTACGTGTATGTACGTGTTTGGCTATAGGAATGGTTAGTTGGTTGGCCCCCGGGCTTCATGCCAATTGGGGGCGAGGCACAAGTATGTGGAGCGTACTGCAAGTTTTCGTTGCCTGAGTCTTTTGATCTGTTGTTGAGTGTGTGTGTGTGTGTGTGTGTGTGTGTGTGTGTACTTTTGGCTTACATTGAATTGGCTTTGGCCCATAAAATGCAATCAGTTGCCAATTTTACTTGGCAAAGCCCTTGAATCATACTTATCAAAATGAAACGTACATAGATACATATGTATGTATATATTGTGATCTCAATCCGTACAACTCCCTCATGTATTATTTATTTTAAATACAAAATTTCATAATTCGCGCCGAATGAAATGAAACGCATGTAAGCCAAACAACAAAACCAACAAAATTATAAAAAAAATAAAAACAACAACAACAAAAAACCGAAACTAAAATAAAATCCTGATCTTGGCGTCAACCTGGCGCTTTTTGTCTCTGTCCCTGTCTAACCAATGTTGCTGCTGCTGGTGGTGGTGGTGCTGCTGCTGCTGCAAGAGTGATTAGTTCCCGCATACAACTCAGCGATTAACTCATATATATTTCATATGGCTAACATACATATGTATATATGTATGCATATGCATATACATATGTATGTATTATATTGCACATGCAAACATATTTATCGATAAATGCATGCAGATGCAGATGCAGGCATGCGCAGTGTCTGTGTCTCTGTCTCTGCCTGTGTGTGTGTCTGTCTGTCTGTCAGCTCGTATTAAAAATGCAACCGTTAATTTATGAGACAACCCAACAGCAACAACATCAAACGTCTGATAATTAATCCAATATGCTTAATTTGCTAGGTGCCAGCGCCCAGAGTTGCCAGCTGAAACATGGAGGCGAACAAGAAGAAGAAGCAAAAACAACGGTAAACGGTAAACGGTAAACTGCAAACGCAGCATTAGCTGCCGACGACCTTGAAACTTTTCATATCATCAACTCTGATTCGGACTCGGTCTCAGTCGCCGTCGCAGTCACAGTGCCAGTCCCAGTCCCAGTCTCTGTCTCGTATTTGCACTCCAACTCAAATTCCGTCTCCGACTGGTGACACAGCTTGTGTATCCCCCCCCTCTGAGATACAGCCATCCATCCATCCATCCATCATCTCGCATCGCCTTTAGCAGCGACTGATGTCTGTGGGGACTTAACTTTTGCCATTTCTTTGTGCGAATTATGTGCCGGCAAATGCCAGCCAAGTCAGCCATCCCATCCCGTGACAACTTCATCAGCATCATCACAGCATCAGGCATCATCATCATAATGAGACTTTGGCATTTTCGGCTTCGATTTCAACGTTTCAGTTTCAATTTCAGTTCCAGTTTGAGTTGCAGTCTTTGCCGTGTTAAAGTTCAAATTGGCAATAAGTCGAGCCAAGACTGTCCGTCCGTTCGTATGTCTGTCTGTCTGTTTCTTACACCTGCATTTGGTCGTTCTTTAGGTGGCTATCGTGTCCCAAAAAGGTTGCAAGCCACCAAACTCTACCATGCAACGGAGGCAGAGGCAGAGGCAGAGGTCTGAGCCAAGCAGCACGATTTCTAGAGGTGTACAAAATGTCGAAGCTGGGAGAGGCTGCATATATACATATGCATATATACTATACTATACATATATACATACATTCAAAATATTTGCACAAAATAAGATTTAAAAAAAAATCACTTTCTGTTTTGGAGACACTTAAAACTACTTAATTATACTTATTGATTTTATTATACTATATTGTATATTATATCTGATGGATCACTCACATGTTGAAGTACTTCATTTTGTCTTGCTTGTGTGTGTGTGTGTGTGTGTGTGTGTGTTGGTGTTGGTGTGTACTTTTGTGTGTGTTTGTTGTACAAAAATTGAACTTGTCCAAGTTATTTTGGAACCAACAAAAAGAATTCAAAACGCGCACGTCTTAAACTAGAAAAAAAATTTAAAAATTTAACGAATTTAAATGTAGTACAGCGAACGACGTAGGACGGAGGACGGACGATGGATGGACAGTTAGATGGACAGGCAGACAGAGAGCCACAAGATTGGAGATTGGTTCGAGCTTGAGCGGAACTGACTGAGGCCACACGATCACGATCGACTTCTAGAGGCAGACTGAACGTTACTTATGCCGTGTGCACAAAGTTAACCTACGGCCATCCAATATTTTGTGGCAGCGAAGCCAACAGCGACTTTGGCAGCGACAGAGACAGAGACTGCTGCGCCAGCCAGCCAGAGTTAAGACTTCGCCTGGCCTGGCCTGGCCAACAACAGGTTCAGACCGCCGCCCTAGCCAACAACCAACTGTGCCGCCGCCTCCAATCGCCACCGCCACCGCCACCCCGGATCTATGCTGGCATGGCTGGATCTAGCACTGGGTCTGGCACTGGGATCGGGGCTGGGGCTGGAACCGTGGCTGGGGGGGGGGCCTGAGTAAGTATGCAAAGAGTGCAGGAGCACTTCTGGTTTTTTTTGTTTCTCTTTTGGTTTTTTTTTGGGGCCTTTTGCTTCGGCTTCACAGCCAATTTGTCACGGCGACATCGTTGCCAGGCTGGTGGCTGGTGGCTTTGCTTATGACAGGTTTTGTCCGAATCCAATCCAATCCAATCTGAAAACCAACCAAAGAAACGCAATCTTGGCAGCGAGCAGTACTGTGACTGTGACTGTGACTGCGACTACGAATGAGACTGAGACGCTGGCAGCAGTGGGGTTCAGGCGAGGTTTGCAATTTGTATATTTTATTAATTAATTTATTGATTTTAAGCCAATTGTTGTTTTGGCTTTTTGGCTCAGCTACAGCAGAGATCTGGAAATTCCCGATATCAAGACCAAGCCCTCGGTTAGCTCGGTAGCCACAAAGCGGGGACACCCTGCCACTGCCACCTCCACTGTCCCTGCAACGAAGAATAGGTCAAATATATGTACATACATACGTAGGTATAGCTACACTCGGAGAAATAAGTGATTTGCTAAACACAAGAATATGCCCACTTATTAATTTAACATTTAAACTAAATGTATTCAAAGTCTCATCTAATAAATGGCTTCCAAAGTTAAATTTAAAATACTTTAAAATAAATATAATACATACATATGTATGTATATTAAATTTTGTAAGAATTATATTTAATTTAAATGTGAAATATATTTAAGTCAAATATTTTTTAATTAAAGTTTTACTTTATTAGTAAACATTTTTAAATCTAAGCAGCTATAAATATTAGAATTTCAGCACTTTTTTGATTGGTGTACCTAAAAGGTTAACTTAACCAGTAGCTACGAATGGCGCCTGACTTTAATCACCAGCCTGCCTGCCACGAGGGCAAGTACTACTCGTATTGCAGATTTAATAATACTCGTACATAATAATATTATTAATGATAAAAAGCAGCTCTCATTTCTGAATTAGGATCTATTAATCTCTTACTGATGAAAAAATAGCCAAGGGGCTCACTAGCTAAGCACCCTTGTAGTAGCTCTTGAAAAGATCTCTTGCTATTTAAAGCAACTCAAAATTCTAAGAATTCATCTTTTTGTTAAGTTTATTGATTTTTAATAAGTTTATTTTTCCTTTGCAGGACTTTTCCTAAAATATTCCAATAATATTGCTGATCATTGGCTATGCGGCTACGAAACTACATACATAAGTAAATATGTACGATACATCTGAAAATATGTACTAGTAGAAGCTGATGATTTCGGGGCTTCCATGCATTATGTTTCGTTTACCAGAAATGGGAGAAACACTGTTAAGTTTACCTACCCATCATCATTAAGTATCCAAAAACAAGATATGATTTTAGCAAAAATAAGCCAAAATTACTAAGGATAGCTTCAGTGGATTGCGCTCCAAAGCGATCCTTCATTGGGACTTGTCGTTGTCAAGTTCAAAAAGGCATCTCAGGGCATGGGCCGAGGCAATGATGATGATCTTCAGCATGCCATTTGGTGACGATGTGGCGGCGGCTGCGACTAAGTATACGATGACACCAAATTAAAAAAGCTGTAAAGTAAAAACGGCAGAAGAAACGCCAGAAATATTTATGCATATTTTGTGGGTTCGTCGGGGCCTTGAACTGATTAGGTGGATGGTGTGTGTGTGGTGTGGTGGTGCATGACGATGGTTCGAGGTGTGCTGACGGTGATGATGCTGGTCAGGAGGGTGCTGGCTGGCGATGACGGTTTATGGGTGACAAAGCTAGGCGATGCGATAATTAATCTTCCACACGCTTTCAATTTTTTTTGCAGATGTTCTGCGGTCAGATGTGGCCACCACAAGTCAGAGTCAGAGAGTCAGGGGCGGGCGTGGCCTGCACTGGGATGTTTAGCCATGCTAATTAGCTGGCCTCAACGCCACTCAATCGCTACACCTGGTGGGGCTCCAACTTACCTTGAACTACAAAATGTCCAGCTGCCAAATAAAAGAGCCCCCATAGATACACGGAGATACATGGAGATACACACTGATACACACTGATGCACAGATTGGAGATACATTTTAATGGTCGGTTCGGTGGTTGGGCCTGTGGTTGCCTGTGAAAGCCAGAAAAGCAGTCACAACATAAACAAGAAACTTGTTAAATTATGAATAAAATCAAACAAAATAAAAGACAAAATTTCCTTTTGTCCGAGCGAGTGTGGAATAATGGCTGCCCACCAACCAATCTACATACTCGAACACAGCTCCCTACAAGTTCCATTAAGAGACCCTAATCCATTGATAATGACAGCCGAAACCGAGGCATACATATGTAAACCGAAATCATTTGCAAATCCCCCAATGCAAATGCAAATGCAAATACAATAAAATCTGATTCAGGTTGGGTCGGTCTCCTCCTCAAGAAATACAACATTTTTCGTGCAATTTAATTTCTCAATTTCTCATTTAATCAGACTTTGGTAAAAACTTAATTCTATGGTACATATATGATATATGTACATGTATGTATATATATGTATGCATGTGTTTTGGGTGTACATAAAATATGAATTAAATGCATTTCCGCACATTTAAATGCATTCGCAATTCCAATTCGCAATTTAGTAATCTTTTATATCGTTTCAGCTTCTATTTCTAGGGCCCTTGGGGGGACAGTCTCAGTCTCATCGTTTTGTATGCTGCATCCGCTGCGTTCCTATCAGACTTTTTTAATATTATTTGCTGGGGCTGGGGGGGGGAATTCAACTCAAAAGTCAAATAAATGGTCAAAATCATTAAAAAAAACACGAAAGAAAATAAAAAATACAAACACAAATGTCAAATGTTGATTTTATACACATTATTTACTTTATTTTGCTGGGGCTGGGGTTGGGTGGGGGTTGGGAGGTTGGGGCGTTTGCAGTTCAATTTCTGAGCCGATTCTGTTGGGGGGCGAAATGCAACTGCAGACGCGCCTTAAACTACAGTATATATATATGTATATTTAAACATAAACATAAACGTAAACGTAAATAAACGTAATACGAATGGATCATCATGACAATAAAATAGTACAAATAAAATACAATTTTAAAAAAAAGAATAGAAAGCAATAGCTCGCTCGACTTAATTTCTCGACTAAGAATTACAACTGAAAAGCATAGAACAGAGAGGTCTCCCAGAGAGGATTGGCTCTGCAGAACTTTTTCTTGTGGGGGGCTCTTATCCGTTACTTTTAAATGCAATACGCTGCCGCCTCTCTCACAATGTACAACAAAAAAAAAAAAACTAAGGCAACAAACAAAATGGAACGTGTCGATGATCCCTAAAGAAATACAAAAATTTGGAGTCCGTTTCATGGTAAACCATATATAAACTGACCGAGTGAGTGAGTGAGTGAGAGATAAAGAGAGAGAGTGAGAGAGAGAGAGTGCTGAGTGTGGAAGGCTGCAGCGCCATCGAACAGAAATACAAATAAATAATTTGTTTAGCTTAAGAAATAGAACATATTGGATATTTAATACTTAGTTGTAGCCTTTTACACAAACACACACACACACACACACACACACACACATACACACATACACACACAACACTCACAAAAAAGTCTGTGTGTTTTCGTTTCGTCTCGATTCGTTTTTTGTTTCATTTTTAAGTGTTAGCTTAGTTTTGTTTCGTTTCGATTGATTCATGTCAAGCTCTGTGCAGTGTTTATATTTCATATATCAATATATACAATATTTATATTTTTTTATATTATTGATATATATTTGTATATATATATAGATTTGTGTATATTATATTTATATCCCCATTTATAAGGGCAGGGTAGGTAAGTTGGGGAAGCATTTGCTTTAAGTAACTGATTGATTGATTGGTTGATTGATTGATTGTTAATCGTTCAGGGTTCTCTGATCCTACAACTACATATAGTATGGTATTATCTATAGTAACTATGCTAGTGTATATATATCAACGTTTTAAAAGAGTGTTTTCTTTAAATGGAATACAAGTTAAAGCTTTGTAAAAAGGGCTCGAACTTAGCTTCATTGATTGTTTGATTGTTGAATGGTTGGTTGGTTGCTTGGTTGCTTAGTTGATTGCTTTTGCGTTTGCGTTTGCTCTGTTGCAAGCTGGGCTCTGACTTACATGTGCGCTTATATGCGCTAGGTATATTTATATATATATATATAATCTATATAATCTATATCTATATCTATATTGTATATATTGTATATTGTTCCGTTAATTTTCTTTGCCTTCTTTCTTTTTACAATTTACGCACAATGTTGGGACAATCTGATTTCGCTACACAACATCAACAACAAAAGCTAATAAACTATACAAAAAAAATATATATATTAAATTAATTCGAATTGTTACAAGGCATCAAATTTTAAAAACTATTAAAATGAAGCTGCACCACAAAAGGAGCTAACTCTACCTCTTCGAACCGATCCGATCTAAGTACAGCTCTCTCCTGATTGTGGTCTGCTGGCGTGCTGCTGAGTGTGTGGATTGCCACAGAATGCGTATCAGTGGAGTAGCATAGCAGCATACAATATAATAGTATTTATATTTATATAGAATATATATATATATAGTACAAACTAAATGACATATCTGTGGTTCGTGGTTCATTGTTGATCCGTTGCACGCTCTGACGTTGCTGCCATCTCTTCCTACCACTGAGGAGGAGTGGGTGGGTCTTCAATCTTACTCTGTTACGCTTTTCTGTTCTCTTTTAGTTTTGTATTGCTTGTGTTTATGGGTTAAAGAAGCGTTAGGCGAGTAGCTTACACAAAGTTTCAGTTTAGTTTCAAGTTAAATTTAGTTTCGATTATAAATTTATGTTTTAGATCTGCATAGTACTGTTTTCAACAATGTGTGTTTTGTATTCTTTTTAGCAAAAGTGTTTTGGATAGTTGGTTAAGCGTTAATTACAAGAATTGTTTTGCTCTTCTAGTTTTGAGTGTTCAGTGTGGCGGCGCTTTCTGCTTTTGCTGTTTGCTGATTGCTGTTTGCTGGCGTTTTCTGTGTTATTGCGCTGCAGGGCACTCTCTCTCTCGCTGGTTGGCTGTGTCCCTGGTCTTTTGCTGGATTCATTTCAGCGATGAGTTGGCTGGCAGCGTGGCGGAGCGTTGCACATTCACAGCATACGGCTTGTAGGAGGAGCGGGTCGATTGGCTACCAATTGGTTGAAGCGATGTTTCCGATGCAAATGATGTTTGGATGATGATGATGCGAATGATGGTTGGATGATGATGATGATGATGATGATGTTGAGATGGAGAGATGATAATGATGGTTAGCGAGCAAGAGACAGGGTGTTGGGGGTTGGGGAGGGGGTGGAAGAGAGTAAAAGAGAGAAATACCATTCGATATTAATGAAACCAACACAGAGGGAAACACAAAAGCCTGGGTGTTCAAAACGTTAATCAGTTAGTTAGTTAGTTATCTTAGATTAGTTTAGTTAGTATCGGCTTCTGGCCTGGCCTGATTCGGATGAAGGGGGGGGACGTGGGGGGAAGGCAACGTCACGGTGCAGGCCGTCTCAGGCTACGAGACTCAGGAATCAGGGCCCACCAGGCTAGGCTCTGCGCTCTCTCTTTCTCGCTGTCTCTGTGTTTACCTGGGCGATATCTTGCTGCCATCGGTGCTATTGTTGTTCGACGAATTCGCTTTGTATCCACTCTTTTGGATACGCTTCAGCAGACGGGCCACCCACAGCGATTGCTCCTCGGACGTGGAGGCCAGCAGCAGCATGTCGCGGGCACAGCGCGGATCATGGTTGAGCTTGCAGGGCGCCAACGGATCATGCTTGTCCACATGCTCCTTGTGTATTTTGTTGCGGCATCTGCGGAAAACAGCAAATCAAATCAGTTGAGTCGAATCAATTCAGAATCAGAAATTAATTAATCATTTTACCTCTTGCATTCGTAAGCCGCCGGCGGCTTGAACATGTGCCACAATGGCTTCGGGCACACCTCGCACGCCGTGGGCATGTGGTAGGTGATGTGCACAAATTCATGACCTTAAATGTGAGCAACAACAGGGATTAGGATTAGCTATTTGGTTCAGATGATATATGCATATGGTGCGCAATTTGCTTTGTATCTCCGTACCCTTGTGGATGATGGTGCCGGGACGCTCCTCGTTGCTGTTGCCGTGCAGCACGCTCACATCCAGCTGGCTCTGCTCGTCCGGACGATGGGAGGCGCCCTCGCCGGCATACAGCAGCTGAAAGATGCGCGGAATCTCTTTGGCATCGGCGCGAATGACATCGCCCTGGGTGACGCTGCGCACATGGTATACCTTGCTGCAAAGTCGTGAGAGAGAGAAAAGGTTAAAGTCGCAGCATACACAAAAGATGGTGGGACTCACCTCAGATCCAGTATGAGCACAGCGTCAGTGGTGTTGTGCTTGTCAATGTCCGAATTGTAGAAAATGATCTTGCGCGACGAGACAATCACATACTGGCGCTTCCAGCCGTGGCCGCGGCGACGGTTCTGCTTGTTTGGTACACTCAGCCAGCCCTCGAAGACTGAGTCCTGTGTGAGGGAGAGCAGAGAGGAGTGCTAGAGAAGCCCAAAAGCACGTCGCGTGTGTGTGGAGGCGGAGGCGTAGGCGTAGGTGGGAGGTGGAAGTGTTCGGAGTGTGTGTTTGTGTGAGTATGTGTTTTCGGTTGGATAAACTTGAGAGTGTGTGTGTGTGTGTGTGTGTGTGCGCGGATACAAGGATCTCGTGCCCCTTACCTGACTGTCCTCGGGATCGTTGTCAGCGGACGAGAGGGAGGCCGTCTCGTTCAGCTTGCTCTGTAGATGCTCAATCTCGGTGGCCTTGCAGTCAATCTCCATGACCATCTTCTGCTTGTGCTGCTGCTCCTCGGCGCACAGCTGCTGCAGGTCCTGGTGCTTCAGCAACAGCTGATTGAATTTGTCACGCTCCTGGGACAGCTCCTGCTGCAGGCGGCGCATCTCCTTCTCTTTTTTGCGCAGCTCCGCCGTGGACCGGGCCTTGCTCTTTTGCTCTGCGGGTAGAGGGGAAGAGGGGTAAATGGAAACAGATCATATATTTTGGTGTCTTTATTTGGAGCATCTTCTTTGAGGGGGGGGGTAGGCTGTTCACTTACTCTGCAAGTCCGAGTCGCGGCGATGCATCACCTCCGCCAGCTTGTTGACGGCCACCTGCTTGAGCAGCACCTCGGTCTTGCACTTCTCCAGCAGCTTGGTGATCTCCTCGTCCTTGGTGGCACGCAGCTGGCCCAGCTCGTCCTGCTGCTTCTTGTGCTGCTGGACGAGGTCCTCGTACTCGTTGGCCTTCTGGCCGAGCTTCTTGTGCAGCTCTGTCTCCGCCTCCTTGAGGGTGGCGAGCGTCGCTTCCTTGGCATTGATCTCGTTGCGGTGCTTCATGATGAAGTCCTTCAGTTCCAGCTCCTTGATGGTCTTCTCCTTCTCGAGATCGGCCACCGTTTCCTCGGCTATCGAGCGGGCCAGGGCCTCAGAGTCGGCCCGAGCGACGGCCACTTGCACTTGGTGCTTGAGCGAGACGCGCTCCTCCTCCAGATCCTCGATCTTGGCCAGACGCTCGGCACTCTCCTCACGATTCTCGTTGGCCTGCGTCTTGTAGAGCCGGGAGAAGCACAGCTCTGCATCGAGCTGCTCCTGCAGCTCCCGATTGTTGGCCAGGGCCTCGTGATGGGTGCCCTTCAGCTGCGACAGATCCTCCTCGAAGCGCCGCTTGGCCTCGCGCTGCGCGGACAGCTCCTTCTGCAGCTGATTCTCGCGAGAGCGCAGATGCGCCACCTCCGAGCTGAGCAGACTCAGCTCCGAGAGCAGGGCGTTGCGCTTGCTGTGCTCCTGGTCTAGTTGCGACTGGAGGGCGGCCACCTTCTCCGACTCCTGGCGGCACTCGCCCTCGAGCTTCTGCAGCCGCAGCTGAATCTGGCGGTAGTCCACGGACAGCATGTTCAGCTGGCGCTCCTTCTCCTGCCAGTTCTGGTCCGCCTTGATGCGGGCAGACTTCTCCTCGTTCAGCTTGGACTGCAGTGCCTTGACCTCCTGCAGATTGGCCTCCTCGCGTGAGACCAGTCGCGACTTTTCAGTCTCCTGATGGGCCTTGACCTCCTGCTGGTAGCGACCCTGGGCCGCCTTCAGCTCAAAATCGATGCTGGCATGGCTCTTCTCCAGCTCACTGATCCGCTCCAGCAGGGCGCGATTGTCCTCTTTGGCCTTCTGCTCTCGGACCGAGGTTCGCTCGATGTCATTGGTGAGGGTCTGCATCTTGTTCTCCGTCTCCTTCTGCAGCTCCTTGAGCTGGCAGCGCAGGTTCTTCTCCTGCACCACTTGCGCCTGCAGATCGGCATTCTCCTGGCCCAGCTCCTCCTTGTGCTTCTGCAGTGTGTCGATCATCTCGCCCATGTCGCGCACCTTCTCCTCCTGCGTCTTCAGCGTGAAGCCGAGCTCTGTGTTCTGCTTCTTCAGCTTCTGCGTGTTCTCCGTCTCGCTCTTGAAGCTGTGCTCCATCTCCTGCAGCTGCTTCTCCAGGGAGACGACCTTCTCGCTGATGTTGAGATCGCGTGTGCGCGTCTTCTGCTCGTTCTCCAGATTGCGCTGCGTCTCCACAAGCAGGGCCTCCGTCTTCTTGCGCAGTTCGATCTCCTGCTCCACCTTCTGCATGGCCACCTTGTAGTTGTTTTTGCGCTGCGCCAGATCCTTCTCGTACTCGGCCGCAATGCGCTGCAGTTCGACCTCACGCTTGCCGCTCAGCTCGATCTGGTGCCGCAGGCTGGTGTCCTGCTTCTCCAAAGCATCTGCCCGGCCGCGCTCCCGCTCGAGCAGGGCCTCGAGCCGCTTCAGCTCGTTGGAATTGGAGGTACGGTGGCGGTGATTGTGCCCATGCTGCCCATGGGCATGGTTGTTGCTCGCATTGCTGTTCACCGAATTGGGCTCCTTGGCCTCGGCGTCGACAGTGTCGCTGGACAGCAGCTGGTAGTCGCCCGTGTAGGTGAAGCCGATGAAGGGCAGGTGATTGCCATCGAAACCCTTGGGGACGGGGAACACCTCCTCCGGCTTTTCGTCCCTCTCGATGTCCTCGAAATTGCGCGTATCATCGTCGGAGGTCAGCTCCGGCACAACCGGTGGCACACTCTCCCTGATATTGTCAAAGGACCAGGTGTCGTTCCTGAAGAACGGATGCGCCTTGATATCATCGATGCCGTAGCGGCCCAGACGCTGCGTCCGATCGGTGAGGAATGCCCGAATCAGGGCCTTGGCCTGTTCGCTGATCTCCACCTCCTGGGGGAAGCTGAGGGAGTTCTTGTGGTCCATGATCTTGCCGTAGGTGCCCACCAGTGAGTCCGCGTAGAAGGGCGTCTCCCCAAACAGCATTTCGTAGAGGAAGATGCCCACCGACCACCAGTCGCACTCGCGTCCATACTCATTGTCCACGCCCTGTGACTGCAGCACCTCCGGACTGATGTAGTCCGGCGTGCCGACCGCATTGCTGGACACCACCTGGCCGTTGGCGCCCATGCGCATGCAGGTGCCAAAATCGGCCAGCTTCAGGTGCCCATAATTGTCCAGGAGCATGTTGTCCGGCTTCACGTCCCGGTGCACAAATCCCATATTGTGAATGGTGTCCAGGGCCAGCACCACCTCCATTGTGTAGAAGATGGCCCATTTTTCGGGTATATCGTAGTCCCCCATCAGCGAGACAATATCACCGCCGGGCATAAAGTCCATCACCATGTACAGATATTTGGAATCCTGCCAGAGGGGTTCAGATGATTATATTGGATTGCAGCCGAAAGGGCAGCACCAGCAGCAGCACCACTCACCTGAAAGGCAAAATGCAGTTGGACAATCCACTCGGAATTGGCATGGGCCATTATGTGACGCTCCTCCCAGAAGAAGGCCGAGTCCGGTCGCTTCATCATCTCAAATTTGGACAGACGCTTCATGGCGTACACCTGGCTGGAGGACTTGTGCCGCACCAGTTGCACCTCACCAAAAGCGCCGGCGCCGATTAGCTTAATGAAGTCAAAGTCCTCGACATTCATGCGCAGCTGATTGATACGTTGCGCCAGGGGTTTATCTGTGTGCAGGGAGCGGGGAACATAAAGAATCTCTGGGTTTTTGCTTGGGCCGGGTGGGGTATGTGGGGTGGAACTTACATTTGCCTGCATACTGTTCGATGTTTTTCAGCCTCTTGAGGGAGTCGTGGTCGCAGTCGCTAACCAGGGCCGATACCGTATCCAGCAGGCAGTCCACATTGCAAATGCTGGTCGGATCGCGCATCTCGCGCTCGAGCGTGTTCGCTCTGTACACGGTTAAGAGCAAGATAGAGAGAGAAGAGAGAGAGAGAGAGAGAGAGACGTAGTATTGAGTCCTCGAGAGTCGGTTAAAATGATGAAGAATGATGTTTACTGATTCACTTTTGAGCAGCACAATTTGTTTATCATTTCCGTTATTATAAGGTATATATGTACCATATGTACTAGCCAATGGGCATAAATAAACAAAGAAACAAACAAAAAAAAACAAAGCAAAAACTTCAAATGTACGGAAAGTGCGCAAATTACTCATAAGAATTGGGCGAATCGTATCCGTCCCCCCTCCCCCTCCACGACTCAAGCATTACCAATTTTCCACCCACCCCACCCGGGAGGGACAGACAAGCTGCCACAGCGTACCCCATTCAGCGTTAGTGTGATTCAGAGAGAAAGAGAACGATTCTAGGAATAGTCCCGTTATGACGAGCTGCAGCGGCGCAACAGCGGAAATCGTAGACAAATGGGCGACAGCGACAGCGACAGCGCATGTCAGGAAATCTGCATGATGGCCAGCTGTACGTATTCTTAATCATACATACATGCATACATACAATATGTACATATGTGCAATAATTACAAGTATTTAGTTTCATTCAACGGAAGGAGACAAGAACAGCTCAGCGCGAATACGCACAAACTTTGACAATTAGAACAAGGCAATGGCGAGTAGAGTGTGTGCAAACAAGATGAATATGACCAAGTATTGCAGGAGGGGGGGAGGAGGAGAGAGAGAGAGAGAGTGTGAGAGAGAGAGCAGCAGCATTGGAAGGAGGCCTTGACTTTATCGCGCAACTCTGTTGACTTTGATAAATTGTGGAAAGAATGCAAGCCACGACGACGACGGCGACGGCGACGTTGATATGGCTTACTTTTGCGTTGCGTCTGGCTGACAGACAACAGTGAGATTTTTCTCTCTTGCGTTGGTTTTTCGTGCTGCGTTTTGTGTTTTGAATGAATTCAGAGAGAAGAAAAATCAGCGACCTGACCCCACCACTCCCCTCCTTCAGCTGCATTCATTGACACACGCAAATACACATATGTAAGATATGTATACTCATAAGCATATGTACATATGTAGGTATGAAAATAAGAGATCAGCATTTGGCAAGGCTAGAAAGAAGACAAGAAGACGGCTCTAACTGCAAGCTAAACGAACATGGGGTAAGGACAGTCCGACTCGATGCTGCCTCATTGGAGTAGCCATCATGCTTCGCCAGGATCAGAGGTAGAGTCTTTCCTTGTCTTACTCCACCACACAGCATGGGAAAGCGCGCTCTCGCCCTACGGATCTAAGGATCTACGGTTATTATAGGTCAGGAAGGAGTATGCTAGAAAAGTAGCTAAAACTGGAGACAAATATTATTTCCACCAATCCACAGCACAAGGCAGACAGTTCAGAGAGGGTGGAAAAGGAGCAGGAGGAACCTGGAGGTATGGAGGAGGCGGACAGGCCAAACCAAGCCAAGTCTTGGCTGGTCCGTACCGATGACAGGCGTCGGCGCTAAAATAAAAATTGATACTAAAAGGTGTTTGAATTGTTGTGATTTCATCATCGCCACTTACGGCACGACAGAAAAGTCAAAAACAGAAACAACAACAAACGCAAACCAAACAACTTTGGGAAAGTGGAATTTTCAAAAAAAAAAAAAATAATAAAAAAATACAAAAAAAAACGCTGCGCTGTTTTAGCCAAAGCGGCGAATGGCAGCAGCAAATACAACAACATTATTATTAACAGCAAAAGCAACAATCATAATAATACATAATCACAGCAACAGCAACAACAATGGCAACAACAATGGCAGCGACGACAACATTATCGTCACCTATAGACAATATAATTTTCAATTTAATTTATACGTCGTCTTCCAAATAAGCTGGAAAGCATTTTACGTTTGAAACAAATTGAAAGCTTCAATCCTGGCTTTGAAGCTTTTTCGGGGCAACGGAGAATGCTCAACGAACGGGATACTATCACGCGGGCAGAGCGCACGGCAGGGGAGGGGTTGAGTGTGGGTTGTGGATTGTGGATTGTGGGTGGGCGCATTTTTTGCGTTCCCGAATCGAATCTCTTTCACACAGAATTAATTTTTGCAATTAGTTTTTATAGAGGGTTTACGACCAAATGCGCACTGCAATTGCCAATTGCCATTTGCCATTTAGCAAATTTCTGCTTTTCTTGTTACGCAAATATACATATGTATGTACATATACATATACATACATATATGTATATTAATGTTGTTGTTTTTGTGCACTTATTTGTACTTGGAGCGAACCAGAGATAGCTTTTTGGGTAGGGGAATTGAGTGGATGGCGGAAAATGAGTAATAAAATTGAAGAATTTATATGCATCGCAGGCAGTCCGAAAGCTTCCGTGAAACTGTTAGCAGAAGGAGGCAGGCCCAAGAGGGTGGAAAGTGGGAAGTGGGAATAGGAGTGGGTGTTGATGTGGATGTGGATGTGGATGTGGAAGCGTGAGCGTGGAGAGCAAGAGCACAACATACCGTTCCAGCTCACTCAAATGGAGTGTGGCCGGCATTCGCCGGCATGGCCACATGCCCTCGCTCGCCCTCTGGGATTTTCAGCGAGGTGGGGTTGAGTGGGTTCTGGGTCGGTGGTCCTAGTCCTAGTCTTGAGTTTTTGGCTCTGGACCAAACGATAAAAACGCACGCTTCACGCATCCGATGCAACGCAACGACTGCCCGTTGTTGCCTGTGTAACAACAGCAGCGGCGGCAGCAGCAGCGCTAGCTGGCTGGCTTGCTGGCTGGCCCGCTTCGGTTCGGTTTGGTTACAAATTTTAATGCGAAAATGGCAAATTTATTATAAAGTCGCCCCCCGTTTTGTTCACTCGCTTGTCAATTTGATTGCCGCTCTGTCGCTGTCGCTTTGAACATGAGATTATGGAAGGTGTTTGCTGCCAGCGCGGTCGGTCTATTACTTTTTAGCTATTTTGTTGTTTTGCCATTGCAAAGCTCAAAATTTGCTGCCTAACAAATCGAACAAATCTATGGCTGCGGCTGCCATTCAGGTGACAATTAATTGAGTGTAGCGCAGTCGCTTTTGGGTCGCCATCTAATTCTCATCTCGTCGTTTCGTATCGTATCTGGCTACGCGGAGTACAATATCTCGTCGGTGCACATTCTCACTCACCGACGCCGCCTTTCCACGTCCATGGCTAGAACGTCCCAGTTGGATAGTTGCCGTCGTTGTTGTGGTCACCACCAAGCAAGCATACAGCTGTGCTCCTGCAAATTAATTCGCATCAGAATTCGGAATTAGTAATGCCAATTGTATGGGATAATGGCTAGAGACTGTCTCACCTGCAGCAGAGTCCCGAGTTCCGTCCACGGGCCGAGCAGCTCTCGAAGCCCTGCAAAAGTGTAGAAAAGTTGCATTACTATTATCAAGCCTTAAAAATAGAGTTTTACCTTTTTTTCTTTGAGGGTTTCACAATATCAGTAGGATCTGTATTTGAGTTGCGAGTGGGTCTGGCAGGAGGGGGTGGGGTTGGGGCACGCGTCAAAGCTGCCGCTGCTGATCGTGGCTGACGATGAGGTCACGAGCGTCGCTTGCCGTTTGTTTGTTCACTGCTGTCAAACCACATCCACTTGGGAATTGGGATTCGGTTTTGGGTTCTTTTGCTGGAGTACCGCCAACGCCACATACGGACGGCACACTGGCGGGGTCACCGCGAGCTCACGGCGTTCCCAGGTGCGTCGTGTTATATTGTGCAAACACTTGGCCCAGTTCGTTGGGCCGTAATTTGGTAAATTTAATTTTGCTTCAGTGCTTCCGTTGCAGAGGTTAGATCAGGATTTAGCAGTGTCCTCCTCCTGGCGGTGTGCTTTGTATGCTGTGATTTATGCCGTGTGTGGTGCCTTGGATGCGTATTGGCCTTGGTTCTCGGTTCGACACGGCACGGCTTGGCTTAATGCTGCGCGGCGCGATTCAGCATGCAACAGTTGAACGGAAACGGGCTTTGGCACGGGGGCACGGCCACGGGCACGGGCACTGGGCACAGGAACACGCAGTATTTTGGTCTGGGTACGATGATGGCAACAGCGAAAATCTCTGGGCCTTGTGCTTAAATGTTTTCGACTTTTTATTTGTTGTACATTTTTACGATACCTTTTCACACACACACACTGGCGGGCGCGCGCTCAGACACACACGCGAAACACACACTGATATGTATACGTATATAAATACAAACACACTTTTTTTCGTTGGAACTTCGAACGTAGCAAATGCTACAACAATAACAAGGCACGGTGAACACCGACGTGCGTCACTCAAAGGGGCGACGGGGGCGGCAAAAAGGCGCCTATTTTGGCCGCCAATTTTGCTATTTCACGACTTGACTGCGGCCAAATCAATCAATTATCGAAATTAATTTTAATTAGACGCTACGCGTTGCACTTCAACAGTTGCGGTCAGCGTGACCGTGACGATAACGATAAAAAATACCATCCGGCCAAAAAATAAATACCATTAAATACCATTTTAGTTTCGAAAAATACCATTTAAATACCATACCATAAAAAAACCAGCGCAATCCGGCGATCAAACGAAACTTAACCCACTTAACACCCCTCTATTTAAAAAGTTGATCACCCTTTTTTAAACCGCGGAAAATAATACTGTTTGTAAAGGCCCCTTGTAGCTCCATCCTCCTCTTTACTTACAAAACAAAAATGACCACCGAAATCTTTCACCTGTAATGCGCCAAATATGTTAAAGCTACATAAATTTTGTGGGAATATTAAATGCCCCCCCCCTAGTCGACAATGGGATAACGTTCTATTTTATTGATTGAAATCGTATTCCATAATTTTGATATTCAGTTTAATATTACTAGCTAGTTGGCTCTCTCAGCCCTAAACAAATAATTTTATCCAATTCCTCAATCAATTTGGTTCAGGATTGGCTATTTTTCAGAACTATTTTTCATTAGATTGTTTACATAATAAGGTTTAAACAAAAACGGCCAAAGAAATGTGATGTCGTTAAATTTTTGATGTTGATGTTAAATTTTTGTTTTCCAAGCAGTTTTGAAACCTAAGCAATTAAGACTTTTTCTCGTACATTGACATTTTCTTGACGTATTCATGCATATAATTGGATTCTTCTATATATATCCCGATCCCGATTCAAATTCTTGGTATCTACAAGAATACCATTGAGATAGCTTCAAAGTTTAAACTTTAGACAAATTTTACAACCTACTAAATATACAAAAATAGTTCATAAAATCAATTATCAAATTCCCAATTCATCCCAGAGCTGAAAAAGTATGTGTTCAAGTCCTGAAATTTATCATTGATCTGCACTCTTGCGGCTTAGATAGCTGTCAGTCACCGGTATGCTGCGAGTCGTCGATCCATTCGTGAATGTGGTTCTGGACAAAACAGTTGAGGTGTGCAAAGACAACACTATCGGAATGGTGGTAAGATTTCCATCTTGGTTGGCATTATTGTTCAGTTTCCATCAATGCTTCAGAAATTAAATGCTGCCCTTTGACATGGCTCCACTTTCAGGCAATTCAAAGCACAGCACAGCACTATAACCATCAGGCAGTCAATCTCTTGGACTGCACTTTAGTTATAGCATAAAATACAGTATTAATGTGTGTAAATATTTGATTGATGATATGCTATCCCTCGCATATTTCGTGCCACTGGAGGGAAAGCATGATAAGGGATTCCATTTACAAGCAGAGTTTAGTTTACTTAGCTGATCATGTACTCTCTTCACTATTCTAAATTTAATGGAGCTGCGTTTCAATGCTATTTAGGTACTCAAATTAGCCGCAGGTTTTTCAGCATTTCCGATCGGGCGCCAAAAATTTAGTTGCTTCAGGATTGATGATGAAAAGGGGCGGGCTGGAGGTACGATTATTTGGTAAAGAACAATAAGTAGAACACATTGGTATCGTATTTTCGCTTGTTATGGTTCATTTTAATTTTCCCATTTCTGGGAATGCGCTTCTAACAAGAAACGCGTAAATTATAAGCTTAAAAAGGTTTTAGACTTTCGCGTGCGGATTCAGCGATCCACGTTTACTTGGAAATGACAAGGGGACCCGTCAGCTTGGCGGCATCACGCTGCTTGGCCACAATCTGGTTGGCAATGCGATCCAAATCACGCTGTCCGATGGAGCTGAGCTTGCGGCCACCCTCTGGGTGCTTTTCGACCAGGCGGGCGTGCTCGAGGGCCTGGAGAGCCTTACGGGCAGCACCGTCAGCGGCGCGGCAGAAATGCGAGGGGTGGACACCGTTGCGCTTGCGACCACCATAGATCTTGGTGATGGAGCCAACACCAGCGGGACTGCGGTGATACAGATGACGCAGAATCGAGGCGCAACGCACATAGAACCAGTCGGGATCGTAAGGGGCCAGCTCCTTGAATTTGGCCGTCTTGATGATGTCCATCTGGTCGGGCACCTTCAATTTGCCAGTCCTGCGTGACCAAACACAAACAAAACAATTGTGAGGTTATGTGTTGGAATAGATTGATGTGCGTACTTACTTCTTGAGGAAGACGGCAACCGCCTTGGTAACGGCATGCTGGTCAATATCCTTTACTGTGACACCTGGCATCTGAAATTCAAGTGAAAAACGAACAATTAGAAGCGCCGCGGAAAACACGTTGCCGTCAATCGTTCTGGCTATGGGAGCGGAGCCCATGCACAGCGCACACGCACACACACACACTCAAGCAAATCGAGAGAGAGAGACACAACAAAAACTGCGAATCCACGCTGATTTGCTGCAATTGAGTGCTTCGTTGGAACATCACCAAATCTTGGCCATTTAGCTTGTGCTTTCATTCACCACCCAGATAGGGCGCACACTTTCATATAGTTTACTGCATTTTGAACATAAAAAAAATTAGTTTCACCGAAAAGAAATTCGAGCACAACCTTTCTTGTTAAAGTCAACCGGAAAAAAGAACAAGACGCGTGAGGTTGGCTGCGCTATTCAATGTGACAGCGTTGCCACCCGATCGACAATCTCACCAGTGTTGATAACCAAGAGTTGCACTATCGAAATATCGACTAGATATATTCAACTAAAAATTCAAATTTATTTTTGTCAACATATGTATGTAATGAGTAAACGGACGTTAAATGTTTGTCTGCCGGCTTAAGCTTCCTCGGTACAATCGAATTTTTTCCAGCCTTCTGCAAACGACTTCACTTTTACAATGGACTGCTGCTCCTTTCGCGGCTTGCGCCAAGTGCTTGGATTCAGTTCAAGCATTCCGCCAATAATTTCCTGCAAATAAGTAATCAGTTCAGTACACAGCACATTCGGCCCTCAGTTCGATATGGTAGCTAACCTGGGCAAAATTCGCTGGGAAACGATCCTCATCCTCGATGACGTGGGCGAAGCCCGAGTCCATGCCAAAGTGCACCCAGACGTATGGCAGGCCCTTGGGTATGACTGCTCTCAGCGATTTGTGACGCAGCGACACCAGCTGCTTGTTGATGCACCACTCCTGCTCGGACTCCTCGATGGCCTTCTTGAAGTAGAAGGGCGCCATCTCACCCTGGCTGTCGGGTATGGGTATGCAATGCACACTGATATGCGGTCGCCTGTGCAGCTTGTTGGCAATCTCATAGAATATCACATCCTTGCGCTGGGCGGCAAACATACGGGTAAGGGCCTTTCGGAACTCGTTCAGCTCCTCCCAACCATCCTCGTCGAGCTGCGTCGAGCAGGAGACGTGCTGCAGGGTAGTCAGAATGCAGTGGCCATTCTGCAGACCCACATGCCAGGGCAGGCTCAGGTAGATTATCTTCCCCATCGACACCATCAGCTGCTTTTCCAGCTTTGGCGAGTCAAAGCAGCGTTCACAATTTGTCAGGCTCGTCTCCAGCCGATTCGCCTCCCGTATGGCACTTTGCAGCTCCCGTTTTTCGGCATCGGCCTCCGAGATATTCTTGCGCACTTTGTCCGCAAATATGTCCTCCAGGTCATCGTTGGGGTTCTTGTGCTTGGACACAATGTCGGCGTACTGCAGGTTCGATTCGGCGGCCGTTGCATGCTTCTCGCGCTCAAACTAAACAGAAAACGGAAGTGGATTAGAGCCGGACTGGACTGGATCGGTTCAAGGTTTAACGCGAATCTTACCATCTGCTTGATGTCGTAGCGATCGTCGTCGGCAAAGTATCTCACCCGTTGGCCATCCACATGGGTGTCGACCTTCTTGTTGCTGCGTTTCTGACCCCGGCGGCCGCCATAGAGCGCGTTGGGATCTGTCGTGCCAGTCGCGGCCTGCACCAGGGGGCGCACATTGCCGCATTGATCGGTTTTGGTGAGCAGCACATGCTCCGAGGATGAGGTTGATGATGCCTTGGATTTCTTTGGCTGGGTGGCTGTCTTGGGAGGTTTGTTGCCGCTGGCCAGGAAATCGACGCGTTTTTTTCGTTCTTCTGCCAACTGCTGGTTGAGTTCAGCTGCACGCTCCGTATTGCCCATGATCTCTGCTTTGATGGCTTTACCAGCCAACTCATTGATTTGCTCATCCGTTAGGCAGGCGGCCAGGGCAGGCTGGGCAGCCTTGTCCGCGGGCTCTTCATCAGATGAGGCACTTTCTGACGTAGATTTGCGTCTTCTCGGCGCGGAGGGACTGTGGCAATGCGTCTTGGATGAAGGCTTCTGCCAGCCTCGTGCCGAGGAGCTCTGTGCGGAGCTGTAAGAATGTGACTCTGTCTCGTGTTCATCATCGTCCTGTGGCTTCTGGAAGCCGGGCAGGCCTGTGCCATTGCTCTTCCAGTAGGGATTGAGCTCGCGTCCGCTCTTGGCCGGATCGTAGGCATCGATCTGTTGTAGCTTGTCGTTTGGCTTGGTTGGCTCCTTGCGTACTCTGGAGAAGGTTTTCAGCAGAAGGTCGTCACTGGTCATCCAAGTGTCGCGCACCACTGGTGTATCCTCAACCTTACCCTTGTCTTCGGCCTTAGCCACAACGGGAGCGCGTTCCACCCACTCATCTTCGCTGTGGCTACCTTTTTTGTGGCTCCTTTTGGACTTTTGCTTCTTCCTGCGATTCCTGCGCTGCTTCTCATCTTCGCTGGATGAGGACGAGGAGGAGGAGGAACTAGAGCTCGAGCAGTCGCTGTCACTGTCACTATCGCTGTCACTGCTGCTCTGGGCCTTCCTGCTCTTTTTCTTCGAAGATTTCTTTACTTTCGAGGACTTGGACTTTGATTTTTGCTTTCCTTTCTTCGTCTTCTTGGCCTTTTTCGATAAGGCACTTGGGGGCTTCTCCAGTTTCTTGGCCACGGCTGGCAGCATCCAATCGCTTTCGCCCCGCAATTCCCTTTGAAGCTGCTGCTTCTTGATAAGACCGGCTCGCTCCTTGGCCTGTTCCAGCATCTCGGCACGGGCCTCCCGTATCTGCTGGCGAGCCTTCTCCTTGTCGCTGCCACTTTCAAATTGGATGTAGCTCATTGCGTTTAAATTTGTATACGTTTTTTGATATTTTAATTAATTGTTTATAGCCACCCACTGGTGGGCAGTGTGACCGCGGACTTACCGATAAGATATACCAAAATATACCTTATCATTTTAAAAATATACCGAGAAAAAAAAAGAATTTAGCCCACTTAACCCCCCTCTGTTTAAACAGGTGAAAACCTTTAGTTAAACCACCGAAAATAGCTGTTTAATTAATTTTTCCTCTTTGCTTACAGGTCACGATGTCTTTCACCTGAACTGCGTTAAAATTCTTCCAGTTGCATGATTATAGTGTGTATTTAGATACCCTCTGGTCGACAATGGGTTAATCGTTCTCTGTCCATGATCGGAAATCATATTGTTTTTGCCCAGTAACACCCCCAATCGCAATTAAAAGAGCCTTAAAATCGGCAAGAACCATCTTCTCAAGATGCCCATCTACGAGAGTGTTATGCAGGAGAAGCCGCCAATCGTCTTGGACATTGGAAATGCCTACACAAAGTAAGTAACAGGCAGAGATGGAAAAACTGTGTTGTAGATGATATCATCATTGGCGTCTTGTCTCTTTTTAAAGGCTGGGCTTTGCTGGGGAGGCGTATCCACGGAAAGTCATGCCCACGGAGGTTGTACTGACAACGACGGGGAAAACGAAACGGCTATTTGACTATGAACAGAAGGAGGAGTTCTACGACCAAATCGTTGACTTTTTGCAGACGATATTCTTCAAGTAGGAAAAATCGATAAACCTCTGACCCAGACCCGACCTGATTATAACCAATTGTTGCTTTGTAGGCACCTGTTGGTCAGCCCCAAGGAGCGAAAGTTCGTGGTGGTGGAGAACATCTTCGGCCAGACGGTGGTCAGGGAGACCTTGGCACGGGCACTCTTCGTCCACTTCGATGTCTCATCGGTTTTGTTTGTGCCGGCTCATCTTATAGCGCTGTCGACGCTGGCTGTGGCCACTGCCGTGGTCGTGGACATTGGCTATAGCGAGACCAGCATCATGCCCGTCTTTAGTGGAGTGCAAATCATGTCCGCATTCAAGGACCAAAGCTATGGAGGCAGCGCCATACATGCGGAAATCAAACGGCAGCTGCTGGAGACGGGCGTCAGGGAGTCTTTGCTCACAGAGAGCGTACTGGAGGACATCAAAGTGCGGACATGCTTTGTGACCACCATGGAGCGGGCCCATTCTCGTGCCAAGGGAGACGACAATCAGCTGACGCCACCGCCCAGCGTCGACTACATCATCTGTGATAACGATACGATGGTCCAGGTGCCTGGCACCCTTCGGGAGACCGTCTACGAGATAATGTTCGAGCCGAACAACGAGCGCGACAGCCTGCCGCATCTCATACTGCGCTCCATTCTCGACTGCACCCTGGACGTGAGGAAGCCCCTAGTCGAAAGCATGTTCCTCATCGGCGGCGGCTCCATGGTCCAGGGCTTGCTGCCACGCCTACAGCAGGAGCTGCAGCACCTACTCACCAACGATCCCTACTACGCCGAGCGCTTCCACGGTGAGCTGCAGTTCCAGTTCTTCAATGCCATTGGCAAGCAGAATTTCACCGCCTGGCTGGGTGGCGCCCTGTGTGGCGCCACAGATCTCATTCAAACACGATCCCTGGCCAAGGAGACGTATCTGAAGAACGAGCATGTACCCGACTGGAGCAATCTCTGTGACAATCGGCACGCGGGCTCATAAAGGGCGTGTGGCGTGGCAGGCAGCGGGAAATCGAAAAATTATTTAAAAATTTCATTTTGTTTTGATCTGTATTATGTGTAATACTTAAGTAAATGAACAGATTTTATAATACATACCATATAGAAACGATTTTTGAATGTCGTTTAAGGCGCCATTTGACATGTTTGGAGATTCGGTTAAGGTCTCTTCCTCTTCAAGACAGTCCGAGACAGGGGCACCGAGATCTATCTCTTGATCTAGCACTTGTCATGAGAGACGGGGAAAAACAAGGAGACAAAGTCAGAAAGTTATCCCCTTTCCAACCTAATTGACTCGAATTTTAGAATATTTTATCCGTTTCTGTCTGTCCCTCTGCTCTCACACACCAACACCAGCCGTTATATCTCGCTACCCTCTGTCGGACGGTGCACGAGGACGAGGACGAGGTGTGTGTCTGTGAGGGAAAGTGGAAGTGATCCGGTCCTGATTCTGTGGAGTCCCCCGTAGCAGCAAGAAACTATCCTCCGAATCAAGTTGAGACTGGAATCTCTTTTCGAATTTGTAAATTTATTTCAAATTTATTACCTTATTTCGATTTTGTGTGTGTGTGTTTTTTTTCTGTTCGTAGGATGTGGATGTGGATGTGGATGGGTATGGAGGTGTGGGGTGGGGTGGCTCTTCTGCGCTTCAATTTCATTTAGTTCTAAATAATATATATAATATTCCCAGGAATAATTATATATAATGCACTCAACTTAATTCTTGGAATCCCGATGTGTGTGGAGAGGGGTGGGGATTGATGTGGGTGTTGTGTGTGTGTGTGTGTGTGTGGGGGGGGAGGATTTTCTTCATATACAATTTGATATATTATATTATATAATAATAATTCGTAATCGTTGCCTATCAACTAAGCCTAAGCGTAATTTCATAAGTATTTCTTTCATAAGTAGTACAATAAATATATATATACATATATGTATATCCATATACATATGTATATATATATATATTGCATATGTATATGCATAAGCATATATCATGCATATATTTGAAATTTTAGGTAACTCTATTATACAAAGGGGAACCGTGGGGAGTGGGGGGAAAGCACAATTCATTTTCATTATCTTTTGCCTATATATAAAAAGTGTTGATGTGTGTGTGTGTGTGTTCGTGTGTGTGAGGCACAGGGCGGATTAAGAGCCGGGCTTAATGGCTTGCTCTATCGCTGTCTGGCTGCCTCTTTCTGTACGTAAGCGTTTTTCGAGTATTGGCAATTGGTTTTTTTTTGTATCGATCCCATCCGACTCTCTCCCTCTCCTCTCCACTCTCTATTCATTTGTGCAGCAGGCAAATTTAACAAATTCCGAATAATAAATAACAAGGCAGTGGACAAGTCCCTTCTTCACTGCATGGATTACAAAGAAAAAAAAATGATATATATATCTATATGTATATATGTACATATAGGAGCGATGGCTTGGGCGTGGCGCATGGTTGGGCGTGGGGGACTGGGACCTAACTAAACTAATTTTACAGATAATTTATATAATAAATAATTAAGAGTTAAAATGTTTGTTGGTTTCTTTTCGTTTTGTTAAGACTGGGCGGGGTCGGGGTCGGGGTCTGGGGCTGGGACTCGGGGCTGGGGGCTGGGAATGCGCCGCCATCTGTTTCACGCGCGCTTCATCCTCTCCGGAGATGGAGAGCAACAGCGGCTCCATCTTCTTAGCTAGTTAACTATTACTTTAAGTTCAGTCGTCGCTAGTTTGGCAGCCGAGGTGGCCGTGGCAATGCCCGTCGTGCCCGTCTCCGTGCCCGAGTCATCAACTGGGACCGCTACCGGAACTGGGGCTGAGGCCACGGCTGAGGCGTTTGTGGTGGTGGTGGTTATGGTGGTGTTTGTGTTGCTATTGGTATTGGTATTGGTATTTATATGCTTGGTGACGGCAAAGGGTACGGCTGCTGCTGCTGCTGCTGCTCCTCCGCCGCGGGGCCTTCTTCTCCTCCTCCTCGGCCCCTGTCACTTATCCGAACCAAAGAGCTTGGTCAGATTGGCGTTTTGATTGCTGTCCATGATATTGTGGGTGGTGGTGCCCCCCGTGGATTTAAGTTTGTGCGGCTGCATCGGTGGCAGATTGGCAATCTGCACCTCATGTCGGAATAATTGGTTCACACTGCGCCCCACCAGCTGGGCCGTCAGCTTCTTGAATATATCCTTTTTGGCGCGATCAACTTTGTTGCCTTTGACGGGTGCCACGGCCGTTTTCTCATCGAACTTCTGAATGTCGGCCGCATTCACGCTGGGAATGTGTTGTAGCACCTCGCTGAGTATCGGAAATTTGGGGCGCAACAGCTCATAGAATTGCACACCCAATGTGATCAGACCGGACTGGTTAGCCTCGTGCTGGCCATGCACCTGCATGCCCTGCAGTACGGCCGTAAAGGCGCTCACCGCCTTGTTCTCGTCCATCAGATGTTCGGCGGCCAGGAAGCGCATCACTGGTGCCGCTATATTGACGGCCTTCATGTTCACCATGCCGTCGTTCCAGGCAATCGCCTTCAGCAGTGTCATCAGGATGTAGTTGCCGATGAGGTCGTTGCGCAGCAACTTGCCCCCAAGATCGCTGATAATGTCCGAGAGCAGGGCCGACTGTGAGGCCCGCGACTGTGGAGCACTGTCCATCGAGTGCTCTTCGTTTTCCATGGCCACAACATTGGCGGTGCCGCCGCCAGGGGCCACATGATCGGACCCAATCTGGCCACCCACCAGCGCTATCTTCAGCACATCGAGATACTCACGCGTCAGGGTGCGATTCAGCTGATCCTCGAGCACCTCCTGGGTATCGTTGACCTCGCCATCCAGCTGACCGCTCTCGTACAGCGATGATATGTATAGCCAGCGTCTGGTGAGGCGTTCGCACATCAGCGGCGTCAAATGAGCGAACAGGGGCACCAGCACATCGTCGTAGTAGATGGGCGGGCAGGAGTAGACGAACGGCTTGAAGAACACTCGAATGATGGGACGCATGCGGTAGTCCGGAATGATGTCCATGCAGCTAAATACATTGGTGATGATCGCATTCGCCATGCCATTCAATTGGTAGAGATCGCGGCCCAGCGATGGTCCCGCCGAGCCCATCAGATGGTAGCAGCCCTCCGTGACCAGCATCATGAATGTTTGCATCTTCTCGAAGGCGGTGGGCTCCCGCTTGATGGTGGTGTCCAGGGGATCCGCTGGCAGGGCACAGATGCCCATTAGCAGCTTCTTTTCGTGCTCGAGCATGCCGTGTATGTTGCGGTAGCCCTCGGAGAGGGCGGCCAATGCCTCGGGTGTGAACATCTCGTTGAGGACACGCATTAGGCTGAGAACGTGGGAGAGCAGC